TGTTTTTCAAGAAATGACATTTACAAGGCTGCAAAACAAAAAAATATAAACGTAAAGATGATTTATAATATTTTCCTTAGGGGAATAGCAAGGTCTCAGTTAGATCGAATAAAAATTAGTTAATTTAGTCTTAAAAACTTTTTTCTAATTAAAGTTAAGTTTAAAACTAAATAATAATAACTAAAAATTAATAACATTGTCGGGAAATTGGGGAGGCGTTTATAGCAGCACCAAATAAAGATAAAAATGGGTTTGTTTGTATGTGGCAAAATTAGGAAATGAATTAGTCATTAAAATAATCCAGAGCCATATCACTTTCATTTAACTACTGCAAGAGTGAAATTTGAACGTTTACATTACCTTAAAATACAAGGCGAGTCATTCCAAAGTCAATTTTGAGAAAATATTTTTAAAAACTTTTATTATTAAAACAGTAAAAAATATTTATTAAAATTTTTTTTTTTATTAAAAGCAGTAAAAAATAAAAAACAATTATTACAAAAATACATTTATTTTAATAAATATTATTTTATTATAAATTCTGAATGTTTAGTTATTATTAAATCAACCTGTTTCTTCAAGTTCCTTTACTAAAGGATGAAGAAAACAACAATTATGTTTAGGCAGAAGAGAAGCACCAATCAAAGACATGAAATTATCAGATTTGTGTTTATACGTTATCAAATTAGGATAGCCATTAGGACATGCAACCAATACTTCAAAAAAACCCCTGACATGCATTTGTCGGTTAAACAAAACAAATAATTTTGCTTTAAAATATGGATTATGTTCTCGAAGTACGTATTTTTCAAAACAAAAAAAGTCTTGAATATATATTCGTTTGTTCTTATGACAATACAAGATATACCGTTCACATTCCGATTGACTAAGTATTTGACACAACAAGGAGATAAAACCCGAATGAAATAAGTAATGAGCTTTTGTATGTTTAAATTTAAATTCTAATGCTGTTGTTAAAGTTTCACAATCCGAATTCCAATCATATTTCATTGAATACATTTTTGCATTTCCAACTTCGTCTTCTTCTTCATTTGGCGTTTGATTTTCATTTTGTTTGATGTCTAAAAAGATATTTGATTTTTTAAGCTTTTCATTTTTTTGATCTAGAAAGTCATTGCTTGATTCATCTTGTTGCTTTTTGTTATCATCGTTGACTCCAAATAGTAACATAACCAGGTTCGTTTTATATTTCAATTTAAAAAAAAAAAAAATTTTAAAGATTTTTGCTTTTTTAACAGTTTGTTCGTATCACTATTTTTTTTAAAGTATTTACACTGCAGACATCATATAGCATGTTATCTTTCTTTTTTTATATTTAATTTAACAACTGTTTTTAACAAGCATTTGTTTTTAGCCGCTCTTGGTAAAAGTGTTTTCAAATAAATAAAAAATTAACTATTTTGTAATAAAAATTCTTCAATTTAAGTTTTTAAAAACTACTCTAAAAATATTGAAATCATATGTATTTTTTCGATAAATAAAAAAAAGTTTACAAATTAAATGATTTTTCTTTAGAATGCGGAGAGAAAAAAACTAGCATCCTTAATAGCGCGTGTTTTAGTAAATTAAAAAGAAGAAAGATATCCGAAAAGGTTTAAACCTTTTATCCTAAGTTAGTTCAAAATTCAAGTTCAAAATTTTGAAAAATAATTTACAATCAGCATTAATTCAAAATTTTGAATTTCACTGTAAAGTTTTAAATTCGACCATAATAATAATCAACGTTTTTATTACCGGGTATTTCAAGTTCATTTGATCTATATTATTTTCATTTTTAAAAAAACTATTTTAAACAATTAAAAGTTAAAAGCTCTGATAAAAAAGATAAATATACTGCATATTTATCTTTTGTATTAGAATAAAAGAAACTTTTAACTGAGAGAAACGGCATATAGTAATAATTGCGCAGAAAATATTATAACAACTGGGAAAACTTTACAAAACTCAACTTTTATAAAACTTAATATTAATATGCAAGTACCAATTATACAGTTTTAGAATCAGGCCCGGATACAAGGAAGGAGGAGTAATGTGGGTAATGCATTACCTCCCACCAGACTTTTTTTTTTTTTTTTTTTTGTACTCGAACGAGTGCGTTGTGGTGGTTTCAATCAAAACGTTTTAAAACTTAATCAAATTGGCTGCCGTTTTGCACGTGAGCTAAGTTCCGGTATTTGTGTGTTGAATTGCCTTGTTTTAAAATCGCTTGTGTTTAGTATTTTAATATGCGATGGAAAACGCAACAAGGTGTAAGATGACAGACTATTTTCAACAAAAAAGATAACGGTTTTTTTAAAACGTATAAAATGCCCAGTGTTTATGAACATGCAGTCAACTCGTGTTTTTAAGCTTGTTGATAAACTAAAAGTAGTCTACTGTGTTTATGAACTTGTAGACTGTAGTCACCTGGTGTTAATGAACTTTCAACTAGTGTTAATGAACTTGTAAACTGGTGTTTATTAATTTGTAATCAATTGGTATTAATAAACCTATTTTATAATAATTTATATGCCTGTTCACATAAATTTTTGGGAGGGGGATACCCCATCCCAAACCCTCCTCTCAATAAACCTCCAAGCATTACCCCCACAACTGAATCTTGGATCCGCCGTTGTCTAGAATCCATTTTTGTGATAGGACAGAAGAATTATTTAATTTTACTTGTATAATAAGCTCTGAGTTCAATCACCACTAAGTTCCTGGTAGTACTGAAGGAAATGTCTATTAGCTAAAAAGCATGAGCCAGTACATACCAGGAATAGAACTGCTAATAAGAGAAATTAATTTTATGTCTCGTGATTTGCCAGAGGATCAACAGACTATGTTTGAACTTGAAGCCAGACGAACATTAAATGTAACGTTTGAAGATATTGCATATTACGCAATTATTGTTGATTAGGCAACAGGGAACTCAAATTTGGAGCTCATGTCTCTATCTATAAAATACTTATCTAATGAGTACAATGTAATAGAAAAATTTATTGAAGTTTATGAATGCAGGGCGAGTGTCGCGAACCATTTTATTTGAGTATACCAAAGATGTTTTGCTGAGGTGCCGGCTAGATTCAAGCAAACTAGTAGAATTGCCGTTTGATAGTGCATCAGCAATGACACGTTTGACAAAAAAAATAAAGAATGAGACTGATGATTCAACCATTTTTAGTCACTGCATGGTCCATTGCCAAGAACTAGTATTCAAAGATGATTAAACAATGCCCAAAGCTTGAAGATGGTCATTCTATGTGTGAAGAGTTTATTATTGTTGTTGGGCTGAGTGACAAATGCTTAGCTTTGTTTGGACGGATACCGAAGAAATTTGACAATGCGTAGGCCTTCCGCCTTCAAAATTTGTCTAAAACATGGTGGACAAATAGGGGGTAAGCAGTAAATTTTATAACTTTTAAACATCCAGAACTTATTGCAAATTTAAAGATATTTTTGGAAGATATGACAAATAGTTAAATTTGCTGAGTAAATACATGTGGACTAATATGCAAGCTAGATAGTGCCAACACATGTTCAGTGTGTTTCTAATGAGCGATCTGTCTTAAAATTTTGAAAGAAGAGAAAATCAGAAAAAAGACCTTAGAGCAGTAGAAGCAATAGATTGCATCAGAAAAGTGAAGATCGCGTTGACTGCAATAAAAAATGAGTTTAAAATGGTAAACTGTCTATATAAATAGCCTATGTTATAAAATAATATAACTATTTATTTAAAATTGAATTTAAATGATATAATTAGTAGGCTTATCAAAAAAGAGGAAGAACTGTGGATGATGCGAGTCTCTAGTCGCTAGCTCATTTCCCACCGGTTTACATCTGTTTTGACCATTTAAGAAATGTTGAATTGGAAATCTATATTAAAAGAGTTTCTTCCAGAAACGCATATGTTCTTTATGCTATTGTCTACATGTGCTAAGTCATTTTCAACTGCTGAAAGAAAGTTTAGCGTGATGAAGTGGATCAAAAATTATGACCGTATAAAGTTTAAACCCCCCTCAATTTAAGGGGGTTGCTATAATATTCTTGTTGTTTATAAGTTGGTTATTTAAAAACTTTCCTACGCCACTGTACAGCGTCTTTTCAAATTTTATTTTCTTCCTCTAATCCATTAATTCTTAATTTATTTTGGCGACTTTTATCTCATATTAAAGCCAATTTATCTTCAAAAACGTTTTCATTTTCTATTTTTATGTTTCTTTCATTCTGTTGATGATTTATTAATGTTGTTAAGTCTCTCTGTACACAGCTAATTTCTAAAAAACTCTCGTTATTTTTACCACCAAAACTGACAAATTTATTTATAATTTAAATTGACAAATTTATTTTATTACTTCAATTTTTTAAATTTCTATTCTTTTGTCGCATAATTAATATTTTAACTTCTAGTTTACCAACTTCGTCGTTAAATAGGTTTATTGCTGCGTTTCCACAATTTCTTATAATTGCGCTATTGTAAACTTTTAATAGCTATTTAAGATAAACACGTTTATTAACATTTATTCACGCTAAAAAGTAAACTCGTCTCTCAT